GGGTGACTCTCAGCAGCCGGATTATGACTCAGCAGCATTCCAAACACAGGGAAAGATTCAGCATCTCCCGAGGCAGTTCATGGCTCTTCCCGACCAACACAATGTTCCTGTTGATAAGCTGAGGTCACACAGGGCCAGATGCTCTAATAAATCACCACACACCTTGCAGAGCACCTCCCACCTTTCACCGACGTCACCTCTTATGTGTTTTCCAGGACCCAGTGCCATGCGTTTCTGCAGCACATGACTTCCCCTAAGTCATAGGTGACTGCCATCCCGGACTTCCCTCCCACATGCTTTCTCTGCTCTGCCCTAATCTGGCCTCATCTCCGGCCAGATCAGTGCCATTTCCTGGCCCTGGCTGCTGAGCTCACCATGCTGGGGGGATGGAGGGCGCCAAGGCCATCGGGGGCTCAGCTGACCCTTCCAACAGCATCCACCCCACTTCCCACCACGTCCTTCCCAGAGCGGCTGGAGTGTCCAATGGCAGAGCCCAGCCTCCTAGGTTAGCACAACCACCGCCTCCAGCAGCCCCCGAGGTGTTCCAAGGGACTCATGGGGTCGACTCTGCCAGGCCAAGGTGCAGCTCCCTGATGGTCTCCCAACGGCCACTTTCTCCTGTGCCAGTGGGAGGCGCTGGCTAGAACACACCCCAGTCTGAGGAGGCTCGTTCCCACCCCTCACTGTGACGTCCTAGGGAGAGGGGGGCAGGCTTTTAAGGTGTATTAGTTAGGGTTCTCCAGGGAAACCGAGAGGCTGATTTTAAGGAATTGGCTCATGTGATTGGAGAGGCTTGGAAAGTGTGAAGGTCTGATGGGGTAGGCCAGCAGGCTGGAGATTCAGGGGAGGGATGCGGTTCGAGTCCAAAGGCAGAACCCCTGCTTGCTCAGGGAATATCGGTCTTTTTCTACTAAGGCCTTCAGCTGACAGGATGAGGGGCACTCACGTTATGGAGAGTGATCTGTCTCACTCAGAGTCCACTGATTTAAATCTTCATCTCGTCCAAAAAACAACTTCACAGAAACATCTAGAATAATATTTGACTGAATATTTGGGCACCATGGCCCAGCCAAATTGACACATAAAAAATAACCATTACGGCCAGGTACGGTGGCTCACACCTGTAATCCCAGCACTTCGGGAGGCCAAGGCAGGCAGATTGCCTGAGGTCAGGAGTTCAAGATCAGCCTGGCCAAGATGGTGAAACCCCGTCTCTACTAAAAATACAAAAATTATCTGGACACGGTTGTACATGCCTGTAATCCCTGCTACCCATGAGGCTGAGGCTGGAGAATCACTTGAACCCGGGAGGTGGAGGTTGCAGTGAACCGAGATCAAGTCACTGCACTCCAGATGGGGCGCCAGAGTGAGACTCTGTCTCAAAAACAATAAAATAACCATTATGGGCCAAGCTCGGTGGCTCATGCCTGTAATCCCAGCACTTTGGGAGGCCAAGGTGAGAGGATCTCTTGAGGCCAGGAATGTGAGGCCAGCCTGGGCAACATTAGCAAAATCCCACCTCTAAAAAAATAGTAAAATTAAAAAATATATTTTTAACCACCACATAAGGATTTTGATACCTATTATCAAATTGCTTTCCAAAAGGATGGTGTCCTCTTCCAGTTGTCCTCAGGGTGGGAGGTTACGGATTCCTGGGCCCTGCTGGCCTGGCTTCTCTCCTTGGGCTTCTTGTTGACTCGCCTCAGCTGACCTTGATCCTGCAACTTGACCTTGCTTCCCATTGGCTTTAAAGCGCCATACAGAAGCCAGCTCTCCCTCCTGGACTTGCACAGTGGCTCCTCCAGCCCTGGGGGGCACTGGCTGCCTTTGAGAGCTGCCTCCCAGGCCAACTGGTACTGGCCTCCCTGCCCCCAGGACCATGTGATGGGGACACACCAGGCTAACCCAGCACTAACCCCTCCCCTTACCACCACTGGGAATAGTTCTGCTGTTCGCGTGAGTCATTTTTACTAGGTTTTCTGTTGTTCCTTCCAAAAACGTGGCAGGGCTACCCGTAAAAATGATAAAAATGGTAAATATTATGGATATTTTACTACAATTTAAAATGATTTAACTGGTCGGGCTCAATGGCAGGTTGGGGCAGGTGGATCCCCTGAGGTCAGGAGTTTTTGAGACCAGCCTGGCCAACATGGTGAAACCTTGTCTCTTCTAAAAATACAAAAATTATCTGGGCATGGTGGCAGGTGCCTGTAATCCCAGCTACGTCGGAGGCTGAGGCACGAGAATCATTTGAACCTGGGAGGCGCAGGCTGCAGAGTACAGTGGGTGAGGTTGCACTCCAGCCTAGGCAACAAGAGCAGAACTCTGTCTCAAAAAAAAGTAGATAAATTAAATAAAATAAGTTAATTATTATAACAATAACACAAAATATCAAAATATGAATAGTAAAATATAAAAATTTGGGCCAGGTGCAGTGTGGCTCATGCCTGTAATCCCGGCACTTTGGGAGGTTGAGGTGGGTGGATCACAAGGTCAGGAGTTTGAGACCAATCTGGGCAACATGGCAAAACCCCATCTCTACTAAAAATACAAAATTAGCTAGGCACGGTGGCGCACGCCTGTGATCCCACCTACTAAGGAGGCTGAGGCAGGAGAATCACTTGAATCCGGGAGGTGGAGTTGCATTGAGCCAAGATCGCGACATCGCACTCCAGCCTGGGCAACGAGAACAAAACTCCTTCTCAAAAAAAAAATTGAACCAAATAATATTAAAAGGAAACACCTCATTTGATGGTTACACAGTATACTTGCATCAAAATATTACAGTGCACCCATAAATAGGTACAATTATGTATTAGTTTAAAAAAAAAAACCGCCTCTCTAGACCATGTACAACGTTCCTTTGTATGTGTAAAAAAAAAACATCAGCAAAGCTTTCATGTAATGATTTTACAACCCAGTTCCCTGGTCAGATAGCCCTGCGCATCTGTGAATTTCTCCCATCGGAATTGCATCCTAATCTTTGATCCCCAGCCTCCAACACAGTTCTCAGCACATATGAGCTCTTTCAATGTTTATTAAATCCAAGTTTATCAACCAGCAGAAATAATCCACAATTCTTGTAAATGCTAACAACAGGCTGGATGGATGTGTGGAGAGGGTGGAATGAGACTCATAAAAGCAGAGTGGTAAGAGCAGCATGTGACTGTACCTACAAGTAAGCGACAGTATCACACAGGCAAAAGGAAAATATTTGGGGGAATAGTGTTATGAGTGATACAAAAATTGTATTTTTTGAGACAGGGTCAAGCTTTGTTGCCCAGGCTGGAGGTCAGTGGCGTGAACAAGGCCCACTGCAGCCTTGACCTCCAGGCACAAGTGATCTTCCTGCCTCAGCCTCCCAAGTAGCTGGGACTACAGGCACGTGCCACTGTGCCCAGCTAATTTTTGTACTTTTTTTTGTAAAGGTGGGATTTCATCATGTTGCCCAGGCTAGTCTTGAAACCCTGAGCTCAGGCGATTCACCTGCCTCCCAAAGTGCCAGGATTACAGGCATAAGCCACCATATCTGGCCGTGTTGCAGCTTTAAAAAAAAAAGTATAATAGTAGGGCTAAGGCTGGACACAGAGCTCACACCTGTAATCCCAGCACTTTGGGAGCCCGAGGCAGGCGAATCACGAGGTCAAGAGATTGAGACCATGCTGGCCATCATGGTGAAACCTCCTCTCTACTAAAAATACAAAAATGAGCTGGGTGTGGTGGTGGGCACCTGTAGTCCCAGCTACTCGGGAGGCTGAGGCAGGAGAATCGCTTGAACCTGGGAGATGGAGGTTGCGGCGAGCTGAGATCACGCTACTACACTCCAGCCTGGCAACAGAGCAAGACTCTATCTAAAAAAAAAAAAAAAAAAGTAGGGCTAAATCCCTGCTATCCTTTTGAACCTAGTTTGAAAACTTCTTGCCTAAAGTATGAGCAGTTCGTATACCAGTGTTTTCCTAATTTGAATTTGGAGACTTTTCAGTTGTATTATTTTTCTAATTATTAAAGTGATGTATTATCAATGTAAAAAAGAACGTGTAGAAACAAATCAAACCAAAGGAATCCCACAGTTTCCTCCCAGATCCTACTCTCCAGAACCATATTTCTAGCTATGGGGCGCTAATGACTGGGCCCAGGGTGACCTCACTGAATTCTCACAGTTGTTCCTTAGACATTTTACAGGCGGAGAAGCTGAGGCTCTCAAGGTGTCCGGGAACTCCCGTGCAGTCACCATCTGGAGACCAGCGGGTCAGGACCCAAGGCTCCAGGGCACAGGGATTCTTGCCCATTGGTGCCTGCGTTTCTCCACCCTCCACCCTATGCCCAAGTCTCCTTCCTCCTGTGGTTTTTTTTTTTTTTTTTTTTTTTGAAAGAGTCTCGCTGTGTCACCCAGGCTGGAGTGCAGTGGCATGATCTAGGCTCATTACAACCTCCCCCTCCCAGGTTCAAGTGATTCTTCTGCCTCAGCCTCCTGAGTAGCAGGAACTACAGGTGCCCACCACCAGGCCCGGATAATTTTTGTATTTTTAGTAGAGACAGGGTTTCGCCATATTGGTCAGGCTGGTCTCCCCGCCTCTGTCTCCAACGTGCTGGATTACAGGCATGAGCCACCATGCCCGACTGGTTTCTTTCTTTCTTTTTTTTTTTTTAGGCTTTGTTTTTTTTGAGACAGAGTTTCGCTCTTGTTGCCCAGGCTGGAGTGCAACGGCGCAATCTTGGCTCACTGCAACCTCTGCCTCCTGGGTTCAAGAGATTCTCCTGCCTCAGCCTCCTGAGGAGCTGGGACTACATGCACCCGCCACCACGTCCAGTTAATTCTTGTATTTTTAGTAGTGATGGAATTTCACCATGTTGGCCAGGCTGGTCTTGAACTCAGTTGATCCTCCTCCTGCCTCAGCCTCCCAGAGTGCTGGGATTACAGGTGAGCCTCCACGCCCGGCCCCTCCTGTGGTTTCTAACCATGTCGTAGCTGGGACTCCAGGTGGCACATTTTGTTCTAGGGAATGTACGTCAGCCTTCACCTGCAAAGCCCGCGCCCCCAGCGCTCCAGAGATATCGAACTGGAAGCCACCCAAGGCAAAGGTGTCAGTTCTGGCCCCTCCGTTCTCTTCGTGTGGCCCCCAGCAGACCAGCCACCCGGCTCCACAGCGTCCTCCACAAGAGGCCTGCTGAGTAAGTCAGCCTGGGCCCCGCTGGCATGGGAGCCCGGCCGCCCGCCAACCCGGAGGGAAGGGCATTTTGCTGCTGTGTTTGGCCCCGTGCTCCTGTGTGTGACAAGCCAGCCCAGAGGGGGAAAAGGGCTGCTTCCCTTCCCCACACTGCCAGGCCCCAGCAGGTGGCTTCCTTTCCTCCAGGGACCGTTTCTACATGAATCTTCCTTCCTACTAAATTCCCTTGGCAGGGTGCAGTGGCTCACACCTGTAATCCCAGCACTTTGGGAGGTCGAGGCAGGCGGATCACCTGAGGTCAGGAGCTTGAGACCAGCCTGACCAACATGGAGAAACCCCGTCTCTACTAAAAATACAGAAAATTAGCCAGGCGTGGTGGCACATGTCTGTAATCCCAGCTACTTGGGAGGCTGAGGTAGGAGAATCACTTGAACCTGGGAGGTGGAGGTTGCAGTGAGTTGAGATCATGCCATTGTACTCCAGCCTGGGCTACAAGAGTGAAACAGAAAATAAATAAACTAATAAATAAAATAAATTCCCTTTGGCCTCAGTGACTCAAAGCTGAGGAATGAGACCTCCAGGCTGGTCACTGAGACAGAAGCACCCCCACCCCACTCTGTGGAGCTCGCAGAGTGGGCCCTGACCTGGCTCTGCTGCCCCAGGATTGGCCTTGAAACTCCGACCTGCCCTGGTGGGAGGTGGTCCAGCCCCTGGCCCAGCCGCCATGTCCCTGCCTGGCCCGGCCGCGGTCAGGCCACCCCTGGGTCAAACAGAAGCGGATGTCTGCTCGAAGGCTGGACAGAAGGGCTGCCAGTAGGACCTGGAGATGGGATGAGCCCAAGGGTCCCCACTCTGTCCCTGGGGCCTCCTCTCACCCTTTGGCTCGCCGTAAGGACCACTTCTCTGTCTTTCTCTGTCCCCTTCCAGCCTCTGCCAGTTGATATCCCCTCCACCTCCACGTCCAGCTGAGCTGGGGCTTTCTAGAGGGCTTTACCAAAACTCTGGGAAAACAAAAGGACAGAACGAAAGAAGGTCAGGCAAGAGGAAAGCATCCTGCTCAGGATATGTGCATCTGTGGCCGCCCCCAGCCTGCCCTCCCCCACTACCTTCCTGGCCGGGCCCTGGGTGCTCTGGCTACCTGGGGATCCGCTGGGTTGGAAGTGGGGGTAATGGCCATGGCTGGGGAGCCAGGTTGGGCTCCCTTCCACTTCCTACTGGGAAACACACCCCAAACCCCAGCCCAGCCAGCTGCAGCCCAGGGCAGGCGCAGAGGAAGTGCAGCAAATCCAGGGAAGGAAGGTGCCCCAGGGGCAGGGATCCCCAGTTCATAGCGACTGGCTCCACATCTAGCAGCAGAGCATGGTTGCGGGATGGGCGGTTCAGCCAGCCATGGGCGTTGTGTGTCCTGTGGGTTCAACAAACACATGGGCTGCAAAGCTGCCTGAGCCACTCGCACTGCGCAGCCTGCTTCCTGCGAGGAAGGAGTCGGCCAGCCAGCTGAGCCCCAGCCACAGAGCAGGCCACCTGGGAAGGGAAGTGCTCGCTTCTGAGCCAGCTGAAAGAGGGACTGAGTGGGACAGAGGGGCTTCTGTGTGGGGACTGTATGGTGCTGGCATCTCGCTCTGGCTTTTTTCTCCAGGCAGCCAGTCTCACAGGAAGTGAGGATGTCCCTGAGTGTCCCCATCATGTTGCTGGAGGACCAGCTCTCATCTGGCAACAGCTGTGGGTGATGAATGTGAAGGGACACTTGTCCACAAGACTCTGGGAGCCAAGGGGAGACTGGCTGTCCAGGCAGCACCAGAGCAAAGCCATCGCAGCCCCGCCGGGCAGGTCCCTTTCAACCGGGGCCGAGCCACGAAGGAGAGCTGAGCAGAACCTGGCACTGACCTCCTGGAGAGGGGAGTTTCCTGTTCACCTTTCACACACACAGGAGAGGGGGTGGCTTTTGCCCTCAGGAGACCTTCTGGCCCCAGAAACAGCAGGTGCTGGATTTGCAGCCGGGGCTCTCCAGGCCCCAGCGGGCGACAGTATGGGGCCAGCCTGGAGCGGGGCCTTTCCAAGGCTGCTGACGCCAGCTCTCCTCACTCAGACCGACTACCAGGACCCAGAAGGAACTTAGGGTGAGGCTCATTCTCAAGCCTCTACCTCAGCAGCAAAGTTGGTGTTTTCTTCCTCTGTTAAAATCTGAGAAAGAGGCTGGGCGCGGTGGTTTACACCTGTAATCCCAGCACTTTGGGAGGCCAAGGTGGGTGGATCACCTGAGGTCAGGAGTTTGAGACCAGCCTGATCTGCCCGCCCTTTGATGGGGAGGACTCTGTGGTCCCAGTGGTCGTAAATAAAGAAGAAGCCCCCCCAGCTCCTCCGGTGGGGAGGCAGAGGAGGTAAACAGGAGGCCAGTTACCCATGAGATTACCAGAAGCTCATCCAGAGCCGGGCCCCGGTCAGTCTCGTGAGTTCTTGGCAGTGGCTCCAGGCCGGACACATTACATGCTGTTGTGTGACTGGCCTGGTGGCCACCTCTTGGTTCTCTGGAAATGTGTGAGCCCACTCTGTGCTCAGGGAGGAAGGCTGCCATCCCGACCTGTCAACCGCAGGCCCTCTCCGAACTCCTCACTTGACCTGGAGGCGTAGAGAGCAAATACAAAGCTCGCCTCTGGTGTCATTGGTGTAGACATAGAAAAAGTAGAGGGTCCCTAAAATGCGACTCCTCCATCGGGAGACTTAGAAAGGTATAGAGCGGTTGCAGATGAACAGCAAAGGAGTGGAATGGAAAAATCTCTCTCTTGTTCACCCCAAGAAGTCCACTCCCCTATGGATTCCTCAGATGCCGCGGCTGGCATGGCCTTTCCCAGCCTTGGTGTGGGAGTGGCAGAAATCAGGGGGGTGGGAGAATCATCCGGGTCAGGCCAGTGTCTCCTTCACATGAAGTCAGCCACTACCTCTCCCTCAAGCCTACCAAAGAGCTGAAGTCTGATCTGTAGATGTCTGATAGTTTGGGGAGAAGGAAAGTTAGTCTTTTAGAGAAGAGGAGAGTATCCAACTTAGGGTCAAAATATATTGAGATTACCACGTGAGATGTGGGTGTTTCTTCTGAGAAAGAGCTCTCTATCAGCCACGCCTCTGCACCTCGCCCTGAGAGAGTCCACTCCTGGCTCAAGCTTCTAAATTCCAAGACTGACAGCTAGAAATATACTTTGTAAAATACCAACAACTTACAAATATTCCAACTATCTACCTGCTCCAATGAGCTTGCTGAGGTTGGGGATGACAATTGAAGGGGAAAAAAATTAATACTCAGATAAGCCCAAACTTGTTTAAAGGTCATCTGAAGATCCAAGCAGATGGCTCCTAAGATTTGCCCATACAAACTACCCAGGGAAGCCATGAGAGGGATCTTTAGACTTCTGGAAAATGGGGAGGTCCCAGGTAGATTGCAGCTCCTCCGCCCCTGGAGGCTGAGCTGCCCTCTGCTGACCTCACATCCTCTGGTTTCTTCTGAGTGGGACTTTTCTCATTTCTGCTTCACAGCAAGGTGGAATTGTCTGGCAAGAGCTTAAATTAGGGCCCTTGGCATGTACCGTAATAGTCAGGTGGCGGTTTGAGATCCAGTTAGATGCCAAAGATTGGGCAATAGGTGAGGAAAGATTTGGCCCAAATCAAAAGAGCTAAAAAACCAAAAACAAAACAGATGGTTGATGCAAAAAATAAGGTTCATGCAAAAAAAAAAAAAAAAAAAAAAAAATCTGTGAGAAAGTATCAAACTTTTTAATAAAAACAAGTCTGGCCCAGTACTTGGATGACCACACCTGGCTTGTCTAACCCCAATTCCAGTCCCAGTTTTAATAAAACTGTTTACAAAATAGGCACCCGGAACGTGGACCATAGATACCAATTTGATTTTTTAAAATATTGCATTAAAATATTACATAATTTGTTTTCATTAGTGAGTTTTGGGGTATCCCTTTATATTTTGTATGCAAGGTGAATGCCTCACCCGCCTCTTCCAACTCCTGGCCTAGAACCTGGGGAACCTTCCTGACCCTCCCACGCACCCGATAGCACAGCCTGGGGCTGGTGGTGTGCCTCTTTGCTTACCTGTATCTCTCCAGATATTATTTGTGGTGAGCTGTCCTAAGACATGATTAAGTTAGCTTTTGCATATAACAAACTACCTCTGAAACTTAGTGGCTTAAGGCGGGGCAGGGTGGCTCACTCCTGTAATCCCAGCACTTTGGGAGGCTGAGGCAGGTAGATCATGAGGTCAGGAGTTCAAGACCAGCCTGACCAACATGGGGAAACTGTGTCTCTACTAAAAATACAAAAATTAGCCGGGCCTGGTGGGACACGCCTGTAATCCCAGCTACTCAAGAGGCTGAGTCAGGAGAGTCAGTTGAACCCAGGCGACGGAGGTGGCAGTGAGCTGAGACTACGCCATTGCACTCCAGCCTGACGACAGAGCGAGACTCCATCTCAAAAAAAAAAAAGAAACTTAGTGGCTTCAAACAACAAATGTATTCGCTTTATAATTATGCGGATCAGTGATGGGGCTGGGCAGAGAGGTGGTTCTTCTGCTGGGCTTGGCGGAACTCACCTGCGTATTGTGGTCAGAGGGCAGTCAGGGGCTTCACTCATGTCTGGCAGTTGGCTGTTGGCTGAGCCATTGGTCTCCTCCAGTTTGGGCCTGTTCACATGGTGGCCTCGGGGCTCCCATGGCAGCAAGAGAGATCAAGGTGAAGTGCTATCGAAGCCTCATGTCATGTTCCCTATTCTCCCATTGTCTAAAGCAGATCACAGGGCCAGCGCCCAAGTCTGTGTGAAAGGACGCAGATGCAGGGACACCAAATGAACCAGGGCAATACTGTGGCAATCTACCACATAGAAGCTGTCCAGAACTTACTTCGCAGAACTGAATTTTTCAGGGTTGTTTTTCCATTGTGGTATAACCTCTCCATTTTTTTTTTTTTTTTTTTTTTTGAGTCAGAGTTTTGCTCTTATTGACCGGGCTGGAATGCAATGGCACGATCTTGGCTCACCACAACCTCCACCTCGCAGGTTCGAGCGATTCTCCTGCCTCAGCCTCCCACATAACTGGGATCACAGGCATGCACCACCACACCCAGCTGATTTTGTATTTTCAGTAGAGACGGGGTTTCTCCATGTTGGTCAGGCTGGTCTCAAACTCCCGACCTCAGGTGACCCACCTGCCTCAGCCTCCTACAGTGCTGGGATTATAGGCGTGAGCCACCATGCCCAGCCAACCTCTCCATTTTGATTCAGTTGAACAAATCTACTATTTGGGGCTGCTGTGTGTCAGGATGTGAAGACACAGTCCCACTGGCCTTCGAGTTGCCATCCATCTAGGGAGAATTTCTGGCCTTTTCGGATGGCCACAGTCCAGGCCAGAGCACCAGCCCCAGGTTGAAGCAGCAGGCAGTTTCTAGGAAATGGCTGCAAAATTAGCAAAAAGTCAGGCCGACAGAGCCCTATCCAGAGCCGGCTCCTTAAGGTGTCCACTGAGGCCTGGGTATGGATGGGAGCTCAGAAGGGGGAACTGGAAAACTAGGAAACTAGGGAAAAAAACCAGGGAATGAGAAAGAAGAGGGGAGGTGCAGGGAGGAGAAGCAGGAGGAGAACCAGGGATACAAGGAGGAGGACTTGGGGTGCCAGGGGAGACCAAGGATATAGGAGCCCAGGGAGGAAAGCAGGGGACGGAGGGCCGTCACCAAGGTCAGGCTGTGGAGGAGGGAAAGCCTGTGTGAGGAGGGGAGGAAGATGACAGGCTGAGGCCAGCTTGAGAGCAGTTTCCTTAGAGCACTGGCCAGGGGTCAGCCTGCACCAGTGCCAGTTAAGGCCGTGAGCTGGATGCTGAAGGCCTTGAGGTCAGAGGGGAGACCCAGAGAAGGCAGGGAAGTGGATGGCATGAGCTCTAAGGAGGGAGACTGGAGCAAAGGCCCCAAAGCTGTGATCTTGAGGAGTGCTGGGAAGCAAGGAGTCCCCCAGGCCCTCCTCTGGCCCTCCTCTCTGGTGCAGCCAGTGTGGGACAGCTCACAGAGTTGATTACTAAGTTTAGGGGGATTCTTTTGTTATTTATTTATTTATCTATTTATCTATTTATTTATTTATTTTTGAGATGGAGTCTTGCTCTTGTTGCCCAGCCTGGAGCATAGTGGCACAATCTTGGCTCACTGCAACCTCTGAGTAGGCAGGCATCCCAGCTACTCGGGAGACTGAGTAGCTACTCCTGCCTCAGCCTCCCGAGTAGCTGGGATTACAGGCACTTGCCACCATGCTGGGCTAATTTTTGTATGTTTAGTAGAGATGGGGTTTTACCATGGTGGTCAAGCTGGTCTCGAACTCCTGACCTCGTGCTCCGCCCACCTCAGCTTCCCAAAGTGCTGGGCGTGAGCCGCTATGCCAGGCCCAGTTTGGGGAATTCTATGAGCTGCTTTTAAGGATAGCCGTTAACAAAACTTAAGTTATATAAACTTACAATCAAATAAATTTTATTAAAAACAAAGGGAATAATTACTCAAAACATCCTTTCCTAGGGGTTTTACTGCAGCCACTGGCCTCTGTCCTGGAGGTTATTCACATCTATTGCTTCTGTATGGTGGAAATAGGACAGAATTAACAAAGGCTGCTAGACATCTCTTCCCAATTCTGTGTTCAGTGACATCAGTTTGGTAGCTTGAAACTGACCTCGGTGGGGGCATTTACACTACAGAAATTGGCAAGCAGGCCGGGCACGGTGGCTCACGCCTGTAATCCCAGCACTTTGGGAGGCCGAGACGGGTGGATCACCAGGTCAAGAGATCAAGACCATCCCGGTCAACATGGTGAAACCCCGTCTCTACTAAAAATACAAAAAATTAGCTGGGCATGGTGGCACGTGCCTGTAGTCCCAGCTACTCAGGAGGCTGAGGCAGGAGAATTGCCTGAACCCAGGAGGCGGAGGTTGCGGTGAGCCGAGATCGCGCCATTGCACTCCAGCCTGGGTAAAAGAGCGAAACTCCATCTCAAAAAAAAAGAAATTGGCAAGCAACACAAACCAGAGCTCTAGCCCCCCCACACCCCCAAGAGCCAGTTGTTAAATGTTTACCAGCACACCACTGGCAGAAGCAGTGCAAGACGGTGCGGCCTCAGAGGCGGGATGTTGGGTGGACCAGGAACTATGCCAGGGAGAGCCAGAGGAAGCAAGGCAGTGTGTGCCCCTGAAATGGCAAAGCCAAAGGCGTGGGCATGCTGGATGGAGAGGTAGTGGCTATCTCTGCTCACATCTCTTTCTCTAGGTCCTCAGGTCTCGTGCTGGCCCAAAGCACTTATGTTAGCTCACCTTCCAGCATGTGGCCCGGAGCATCTCCCTGTTTCTATCATCACCGAGGGCTTCTTCCAGTTCCCCTGGGTGTCTCTTGGACACCTTCCTGCTTGGCACAGTATTGCTGCTCTGGAAACACGCCTGCCCAAGTGTGCATAGGTGTGGAGCTGCTCTTTATCACCAGTCATCAGCGATGAGTCACCAGTTCCTGGGAGTGAAGAGCTCACTGGATACCTGATGGTGTGGTCTGGGTCTTAAACAGCCTGGGCTGGGGGCACTGGCCAGGCTGAAAGGGAGGGGAGTACAGGGTGCTGCCCTCCGACCAGCAAGTTTCCAAGTTATGCCAAGCCAGGCCTCCACTCAGGCAGCACCGTCTTTGAGGAAGAAACCAGGCTTCCTCAATGACTTACTGGCCCAGAAGGGAAGGGACAGGGATCCCTGGTTTACTGAAAGAAAGTGGGGTGGAGGCTGGATAAAGTACCTCAGGCAAGAAGAGAGGGGCTGAAGGGCTGGAGCATGGAGTCAGGGGACACCATTGCCATTCCCAGCCAAAGGCTAGTCATTTTTTTTGGAGATGGTCTTGCTATGTTGCCCAGGCTGTCCTTAAGTGATCCGTCTGCAAGGCCTCCCAAAGTGCTGGAATTAAAGGCCTGTGCCACCATGCCCACCCAGCCAACAGCCAGTCTTTCAGGGCCACAGAGGGGAATAGCATGATTAGAATGTATGCAGAGCTGGCTGGGCACCGTGGCTCACACCTGTAATCCCAGCACTTGGGAGACCGAGGTGGGCAGATCACAACGTCAGAAGTTCGAGACCAGCCTGGCTAACATGGTGAAACCCCATCTCTACTAAAAATACAAAAATTAGCCAGGCATGGTGGCTCATGCCTGTTATCCCAGCACTTTGGGAGGTTGAGGTGGGCAGATCACCTGAGGTCAGGAGCTCGAGACCAGCCTGACCATCATGGAGAAACCCCATCTCTACTAAAAATACAAACAATTAGCTGGGTGTGGTGGCACATGCCTGTAATCCCAGCTACTCAGGAGGCTGAGGTAGGAGAGGCTTCATCCCAGGAGGCGGAGGTTGCAGGGAGCCAAGATCGAGCCACTACACCCCAGCCTAGACCATGGATCGAGACTCCATCTCAAAAAAAAAAAGAATATGTGTGCAGCCTCCAGGGAGGCTCTTAGCCCCAGGGTCTGATGATAGGCCAATGGCCTGGCCTGACCTCAGGCATCCCAGCTGGGCCCTATTGGGGTCACTGCCATGGGACTGTGTGGCAAACCAGCAAGGAAGAGGCTACTGTGCACTGAGCATCTGGACAAGGCCCAGAGAGGCTGGGGCAGAGACCAGAAACTGCGGTGGCTGGGGGAGGGGGAGGGAGGCAGGGATGGGGAGTCAGCATCCCTGGGAGACCCCAGCAGCAGCCAAGATTCCCCAAAGGGCATGAAACAGTGGTCAGGCGGAAAAATGCCGAAACTAGGCCAAAGAGGAGAGAAGTTTGAGACTTTGTGAGACACCCCCCTCCCCCCGGGGACCCTGGGAACAGTGAGGGGAGGAGATCTGGCTTTCTAAGTCACTGCTCTTGCTGGGCCACATGCCTGCCATGGGGCAAGGTAACCCCA